AGAAAAAGAAAAATTACATAAAAAAGAAAAAAAATAGAATATAAATTAATTACTTTAGGAGAAACTGTTGATTCAAGGCATCTTCCAACAGGATATAACACCAGCAAACCTCTATCACAAGATACTTGTGATTATTGTAATAAAAAACTTAATAATGGTGAAGTATTAATGTGTGATTATGGTTATCACTATAAATATTATTAGATTCTTGAGTATAGATGTCATTACTGTGAAGAATATTACAAGCATGGAATTTGCAATGTAAAATCATTTTTAGAAAGGTTAGAAAAGGGTCCCAATATCTTTACTCCTGAAAAAAATAAAGATAAAGAGGTTTTAGTTAAAGAAAATGAGATAATAAAAGAGGTAGAAATAAATAGAAGTCAAGAAGTACATAATAAACTTTTAGAAGCACTTAACTACATTAACACTTAGTAATATTGTATACAGATTTTATAATTATTTGAAAGGTTCAAAATTAATTAAAAAATTTAATAATAATAATATAATAATAATAAATAAACATTACTTGTATTAGAGTAGCCTTTTTTAATATACTATTATAAAAATATCCTTTTAAATAAACTTTTTCAAAAATTGGATCTTATTGAATTTAAATAAAAGAAATAAAGAAATAGCTTTGAAAAATATAATTATAAAATTTCATCATTTATTAATTAGTTATTTTTGCAACTAGTCGTATGTGTGATGATTTTTCAATTGAACTTTATTGTAAAACTAATATAAATATTTGTATAATTCTAATGATCAAAATCTAGACTTTCCCTTTACTGATTTTACAAAATTATTATTTGCTAATGCCTGAACAAAATTTCAATTTATGTTTGAGAAAAATGGTTTTGATGTGTATATACAGTATATATCAGAAGTTAATCACGATAAATATACTAGAAGAAACTAAAGCTAAGAGGATAGTCAAAAATCGAAGATTGGCAATAAATGAACTTATAGAAAGAACTCACAATATATATTGGAGAGTTAAAGATTAAAGAGAAAGGTGCATTTCTTGAAAAATTACAAACCTGTTTGGAACCTATTTTAAGGTGAAATAAATCAAATTGATATATTACAAAAATAAATCAATAATGGTTTTATTAATTTAATTATAAATAAATAAATCAAAATTTTTGTGAGTATAAATAAATCAAAATGTCTGTGAGTGTAATAAATCATAATTTTGTGAGTATAATTTTTAGTTCAATTTTTAAAGGACGTTTGTCACGTGACCACGTGTATACTAGCCCGTTTTCTTCTGCTTCCGATTTATATATCATATTATAGGACACTGCTTTAGACAATCCCCATATATAGAAAGATTATGAGTAAATCTCAAAAAGATGAAATATCCCAAAAATCAGAAATCAATTTTGAAAACATGTATAATTTACATGTCATAGCTGAGACTATTATAGTTTAATTTAAACTATATTTTATTTATATAAACAAAAAAATAACTACTGTTTAAAGAATAAGAAAATTGAAAAAATATAAAAAAAAATATAAAAATCTTCAAAAATTTTTATTTTTTATACTTTTTCAATTTTGCTTACAATTTTCAAAGTGTATAATGATTTTTTATTAAAATATTTCTAATATAGAAAGAAAGACCTAGTTCTTAACTACAAAATAATATGTATTTCATTTTAGTAGTATTGTTATTTACAAAGTTATTTGTGTTTAAAACTAAACGTTCATAAAAAATTTTTTATAATTTTTTATAAACATTTAAATTTAAATACAAATAATTTTGTAAATATCAATGCTACTGAAATGAAACATATATCATTTTGTAGTTAAGAACATGACTTTTCTTTTTATATTAAAATATTTTAATAGAAAGTTATTATACATTTCAAATATTATGAGTAAAGTTAAAAATGCATAAAAAAATAAAAAGTTTTAATACTTTTGCACATTTGTTTGGATCACCTGTAAATTATAGACCAATTAATTCGGAGGGTGGAAGGTTCCTCTTTTTATAAATAAAAAATAATTTCTAATCAATGGCGTTAAAACTTTACAATTTAGATATCAAAGATTTTTTAATCTAAAAAAAGTTTCATTAAAGGAATCAATTAAAAATCATTGTTGAGAATAATCATTTGTTAAAAAAAAGAGAAGAAAGAATATAAGATTTCATTCAAATACTTGCAGTAATCAATTATTTATTGTACTCGTATCATTTATTGTCTATATGTTAATTATTTATAATAAAAATTATTTCGGCATTGTTTGTCGAAAATATACACGTGATGTCTCATGATATTCATTTTCTAATTGTCAGATTTGATTTCATTCGCTTTACATAATAAAGTTTTGAAAAATCTATCTGATACATTAATCATCTCAAATAAAGTTAAATTCAATACAATTATCTCAATATTAATCTAATATGTATACTGTCTGTTTATCCCATTTAAATCTTGTAGAGACATGATGCATTTTTTATTTGTAAAATTTTCTTCTTTTTATTCATTCGTAAAACAACGAAATACATTCATTTTGCATCAAAGAATATATTACATAATTGCAAAACTTGTAGAACGTGACATTATTTTTGACTAAAAAGTATAAACGCGTTATCTTTGGATTAATCTTTTTTTTTCATTGTTCTAAAAATTTGCATATTTTATAATAATCTATCATATAAAAAAATACTATATAGATAATAGATTATTATTATATATCTGGCCATATGATTATTAATTAAAATTTGTGATAAAATACTAAAAGTGTGATAGGTTTTTTTTTTTTAATAATGACTTTCATCATTTTCATACCAAGTCATAATTTTTTATACAGAAAATTATTTCACTAATTTCTCAGTAATAAGTGAAATAATAAGGAAATATTGATGGATTTAATATTTGAGACGGGTACTTCTTCACGTAATACTCGACATTATTCACGTGTATTTAGAATCATTTTCAATTCTAAAAGTAGAATGCATAATTTTAATCAAATCATTGTGTTCGTCACAAAACGTGTTTTCTTTTATATCAAACATTTTTCCCATTTGTTGTTGAATTGTAAACGTGGAAACTTGATTGGCTGTGTGTTGAGTGATAGTAAATTCTGCATATTATTTGTTACTATCAAATTTCATTGAAGCAATTTTAAGTAATTTGGCTAGAATTATGCATTTCGCGAATTGAATGAACTAATGTTACATTATCTTTAATCTAAACACATAAACGCGTCTTTCACCCACGTGATAATAGAATCTATAATCAATATTTTTTTATTTCCAGTTAAAATTCTTTAACCACTTTTTTAGCAATAAAACGAAGTATTATTTTTGCGTAAATGATCTTCAAATTCTCACGAATCTTTAAAAGATAATCTAATATAATCTAATATAATCAATATTATCAGATTCAATTTTCCATAATCAATTGTATTTGTTATTTAATATTATTCCGAAGTGTTTAAGAAAGTTAATCTTAAGTTTTATCATTAATGAAAAAATAACTCTAATCTAACTAATCTATAAGCAATAATAAAATTCTATCAATAGATTTGCTATAGAAAATAGTGATTCGTATGTTTATAAAAAGTAATTTTATCGTCTTAAGAGATATGTATAATAATTGTGATAATTATAATAAAAATTTATTATATTTTCAAATATTTTGATTAAACTTTAATAAATTATTTATCAAATTAATCTAAATTCAAAAATTTTAAAGTAATAAAAAAAAAACTTTAATCATTTTTTAAAAGATCATCATCTTCAGATATATTCTGAATGGTTCAGCCAATTTAAAAATAAACAAATAGCAGAATGCTGAAAATGTTGATTATGGTATGCAAAGCTAAGAACGCCAGAAGAATGTAGAATTTAAAATTTTCCGTGCATTCAGATATTTATCCAATCAAATCTCAAAATTTATCAATGCAGAAAATTATATTTGATGATTGGTCTTCACTAATATAGTCGCACCCCTTGGCTATATAAAGAAGTTTTTTTTTTTTTGATAAATTAGATTATGATTCGTTTATAGGGGTTACTATGCTGAAAGTTTGTTATGACGACAATGATCTGCACGACTGATTGTTGCATAAATAAATTCAAATAAATTTTTTTTACCAAGATTTCCATTGTATCTCTTTTCGAAAAAATAAATAAAACAACTTGTATTCAATCGCGATAATATTTGAATTCGAATCTTCGGAAAATTATATAAAGAAAGTTTAAAAAAGGAATTAATTATTAGAAAGAACTTGTGATAAAAAGTGGAGCAGTCAGTTAACACGTTATCTTTCTTAGATAAAAAAATAGCCAAATGCGCCTTGGTTATAAAGAAAACATTTATGCATGACTTTCCAATTCAGCTTTATAATATATTTCCAATTTAATTATTTTAATTAGAGAACTTTTTTGACGGCTGCAATTGATGCGACAATAATGTCGATCAAACTTGTTTATGAGATGATAAATATTGTATTGTCAATATTTACAATGTTACGTCAAATTTTTTAAACTGTTCGTGTAATAAATTAAATTCTCACCTTTTAATTTAAAATCGTCAACAGTATTTATATCACTTTTTATATCACTTATATTAACTTCTTTTATTTTTTTATTGTAAATATTTCAACCAATAAGCATATAATAAATAAGCATGCTTAATTTTATTAATTCATAATTTTTTAAAATATTAAAATATTTGTTTATAAAGAATTTATATTCTTAACGTGTGCTCTGATATAATGCGGAACTTTTATTTAAAAATGAACCTAGGGTTTTCTTTTCTTCATATTTTACGGAATGCCCTTGTTACACTAATGTACAAGGATTGTATCTTTTACTTTAGTGCCCAAGAAGCAACTTAAAAATCACGAGTCTAAGGCACCACATTCTTTAACTAATAAACTTCCCTATTTCCCCCAATCACGAATTTTAACGATCCCTTTTATAATACTTGTTATTCCGAAACAAACAATTTATCTAACAAGAAATAACGAACGAATTTGAAATGAATAACGCTAACATCGAGATTCTATGCCCTTCTGACGATGCTTTAAGGAATAATGAATGTTTTTGTGACTGGAGGGTACAAATAAAAGGTTGGTTTTAATATTTTAACACTTAATATTTGCATTGTTTTACACTAAGAATTAAAATTGGACTTAATCCTGAATTAAATGCTTAAGATATTTATAATAATTAGGTTGTCCCTCGGAAGAAAATTTTCTTCAAGACCTATATATTACAAACACAGTTATGTGCTTTTTGGTGTTTTTAATGATAACAGCGCTATTGATTTGGAGAACTAGTGTAAAAGGTCAACGATTAATTGCGCGAGACACATACAATGAAATGGGTATTTTACGACCTAGACCACTGGAATGTTTTTTATTATTAAACATGTTTCACATCTGTGGTAAGTTTCGATAATTTACTATTTTATATTTTATTTCCACGCGATTTGAAAAGTTTTTCAGTTTTTCAGTTTTTCAGTTTTTCAGTTTTTCAGTTTTTTAGTTTTTTAGTTTTTAAGCGTTTTTTTTTTTTTTGATCAGCTCGGCTATTATACTCAGTCTGTTTATTGAGTGATTACCTTCCAAATAATTTACTAAAAGAATGTAAGAAAATAAATAAATGTTAAATGTTTCCATTTTCAACTTTTTATTTACTCTTTAATTTTATTTTTTATAAAAAAATAATCATTTTTGGTGTAATTTTAGTATTCCATGACGTCACTTTTACGATTTCATTAGCATCTTTAGCTCTATACTTAATTGGTCTAATATATACAATTCCAAGATCTCATACTATGCCTCGACGCCTTAATTCATACACCAGACCATATAACTCATCTGAGGATATTAAAGAAGTATGGGTTCCCCTTCCAATTATGGTTGATAGCTTTGGATTTTTTGTATTATTGGGGCCAATTGTGTCTTTGAATGCATTGGCAATAATATCAGGATTTTATATGGACAAAGGGAATAGTAAAATAGCAAATTTTTGGATCACCATCCATTATGTTTGTTGGAGTTTTTTCTGTTGGATAATTGTTTTTTCCCTAGTTTATTTTGGAAATAGATTGACAGGCATAATAGTGAAACATATTGAGGTATATTATAGATATTATTATATTATTAGATATTATATTATTATTGTTAATATTGTATATACGTGCTGTTTAAAATTATTATAGGAGACTAAAGAAACAAGCAGAGAAAACCCTACAAAATTGAAAAGTTTAAAGCAAGGATTAAAAAAGGTTGGTTTGAAAGACTTTAATACTTACAATTATTGATTATATTTTTATTTTAACATAAAAATTTGAATATTTAAATTATCAAGTTGAGATTAGTGCTGGCAATTTTGCTATGCGTTCTATTGTTTTTTGCGACTTCGTCTTTATTGTTTGGATTGTTTAGAACTTTCTTGTTGACCTCCCCGTTTATTTCTCGAGCATTAGCCGCATGTTGGATTTTAATTGGTGAGTGCATTATATAAATAATTTTTATTTTTACTTATCAAATAAATTAATAATTTTAATAATTTTAGTACCAATGATGAATGTCATTATTGTAACAATTTTGGCCATCGAGACTAAGTGAGTACATATTTGTTTGTTATCTTAATATTCTCCCAAATTTTTTCTTGGATGTTCATTATTTTTCATATTTACTTAGCAATAAAGAACCTATACATATACTTCGCCAATCCCAACTCCTCGATGATGATTATCCGATTCAAATCCCTGTCCGTCCGTCCAAATTTCATCAGAATTCTGAATCTATTAATTCAAATTCCGATACAATTAGTCCAATAGCATTAACAACCATCAAATTAAAAAGAACAAATGATGATAATTCCGATTTAAACTACATTTCTCCATCACATTCTCAGACTCATACTCATTCTCGGGCTGAATCTTGGAAACAGAATAATAATACCTCCGAAGATGCTTATGCATCTCTTGATGTTATTGTTCCTGAACCATCTTTTTCACCAAAAGAACAATTTTTTTCTCCAAAACAGTAATCATTTCATTCATTTCGTACCATTATAATTAATAATGAAAATTAAATCATGGATACTAAGTGTTGACAAGCGAAATGAAAAGTTTTAGCAAAGAGTCATTATTCTAATTATAAACATTATTCTTTTTTAATGATTTCGAAATCTTATAATTCGTAATTTTTATCGTAGAACTTCCTTTTTTTCTAAGATATACACATTTCTATGGGTGGGAATGTATATCGCGAAATCTTTTTTTGTGTGTGGAATATTCACTTTTATTTCGTTTATTTTTCTTTTTGCATGCATGCATTCGGATAAGGATTATGTTACAATTCGTTTTTATATGCACAATATAAAGAAACAAACACGGACGGTGAAAATCTTTCTCTTTACCATAAGTTGGATTTCTTATTTGATTCTTCCTCGCATCAAACAAGAAATCATCCACATTTTATCATTATAAGCATATGACATCCTATCTCTTTTATTTTGATTCCCCCTCCCCTTATAAGTATTTAAAACATTTTCGCATATTTTCGATTTTGAGTCGTATTATATTTTCCCTTCCCTCATTTAAAATCAATATTTATTTAAAAAAAAAAAATTTGATCTGTATATTTTAGTACTACTACTTCTCTGTAAAAAAAAAAAAAAACTCTCACAAAATTCAAAAAAAATAGGCTAAAAAAATAAAAATAATCATATACTCTTAAGAAGTTCTTATGCTTTGACAATGAATATTACTTCAACGTGTCAAGTAAGAAGATTATTGTGTAAAAATTATATTTTTATTACGTAAACCGCGTCTACACGTGAATGATAAACGCGCTTTCGGTTAATCACGTGAAATTAAGTTATTCTAATGAATTTATTAAAACTACCAATATGTGATTACAAAAAATTACTAAAATTGTGCCTCATTAAGAATTTCTTAAATATCTATAATATTGTTATGTGATAATCTTTGAAGTGCCAAAGCTTTCTAATATAATTTTTACCGCTTGAAGTCTGGTATATCGCGATGTTACTTTATCTCTTTCATAATTTTCATCCAAATTGGTATTTCATCTACATAAATATTAGATACCTTACCGCGAACGGAAAATTCATATAATGAATTATTAAGTTTTAAAAATTATACGGTTTAATCGTGTGGTTGATATATATATATATATATATATATATAAAATATATATCTCTCTATATATATATTAAGCTTAATAAATTATTAATATACATGTCTTAATAACAAACTATTATCAGTTTTCAATAGAACTGTTAAATAAATTAAATAAATGAACAATAAATTATATAAAGAAAGTAAAATGCAATTTAATACAATAATGTATCTATTATTTAATATTATATATATATTATGTTTTACAATACTTTTCTGAGGCTAATGAAGATATTTTCTTTTGATATATTCTTAATTAAAAATTAAGGATTATAGAAGTAAGTTATATAATTCCTAATACAATACTTCTTCATTACAAAGTTATTGAATTTAACTTTAGTTGATATATTTATTAATAAAAAAATTTTTACTTGTATATCATATGTCGTCATCCAATCTAATCTATTTAAGCATTTATATTAAAGTTGTTTTAATAAGTGATCAACCAATCAAATTTCTTGTGAATTTCTTTAAAACAAATCATTCAACTTTTTACGTTAACATATGAAGCTTATTTACCACTTTAGTATTTAATTATGGAGACTCCTCAATTTGCATATGAAAAATTATTTATCAAAAGATTTTTGCATAATAAACATGTGAAATAGAATTGATGAGTAGATTTTGGTAGGATTTTCGTGAAAGAAAGTTTTAATTAACATGCGCGATTCAATAACTTTAAAAACCGATTTACGGATAATATATATACTTGTATGCTCTATGTTAAAAATTAATTGTGTTGACCCCAAAATATTTTAACATTTCTTTTTCGTTTACATACGAAACATTTAAAAAAGCTAAAAAAAAAATGGAAACTGAAGAAGTCTTTCGTACAATTTCAGAAACAAAATTTCGTGATGAATTCTTACATCTCCAGGATTTATGGAAAACACCCGCGAAAACTCATCAAAATATTTTAGTTGGCGACGATTACAAGATCGCACCTAATGTTTCGCATATAGATAATCTATATCATATTATTCAAATTGCACTTTACGCCTTACTTACTCTCTTTACTGATTTCACTTTAGCTTTGAAACATCCACTTTATTGGTTATATATGATCTTCGTTTATCCCATTATTCTTGTAGCGTATTTTATATTGGAAATTTCCTTATTTTTTCTTAATACTCTAAAACTTGACGGTATAAAGCATACAATTGACGATAAATGGTCTGAATATACCTCTCGCGACGACGAATTATGTAAGCGTCCATTTAAATATTTAATTATTTACATTTTTATTTATATATTTATATTTATACATTTATATATATTTATATATATTTATATATATTTATATATATTTATATATATTTATATATATTTATATATATTTATATTTATTTATATATGTCAAATGTTGTCGATTAAAGTTGACATTGAGTTTTTCAGTGAAAGAGTAAATAAAGAAATCGTAGATGAAGGAGTAGATGCTTTGAATAAACCTTATTATAAAGATTTTGAAGACGATGACTCCGTAGATCGGACACACAATTGCAACCTAGACATAGCCCAATTATTGCTTTTTATGTCCGATCTTGTTTACAATCGTGATGCAAGTAAAGTTTTGAAGGCAAAACAAAAGCTGAACATGATAAAATTTCAACCAGAAAAATCTGAACAAATATTACAGGAAGTTGTTGCTCTCTTAAATGAAAGTGAAGAACCAATTAATGCTAAAAATAAAAAATGGAAATTAAAATATACTACTGTATCTGAACTCAATTCTTTAGGAGAATCTTTTGCGGGAATTTTTTATTCCGAGAGACATAATTTTATTGTTGTAACTTTCAAGGGTACAACAATTGACAATTTTGAAAAATGGATGACAGAAATGCTATTTCAACGTATTGATGGACAAACATTCTTTAGTGGAAAATCTTATAATGGTTATCGTAGCATATTGTATCCAAATGATTTGCAACCTAGTCCATATGCAACAATAATTGAAGGAATTCGAAATGCAGTTCAACAGATTCGTAGTTATAGAGAAAAAAATTCTTCACGTGAAAAAAAGAGAAATATCAACGTTTGGGTAACTGGGCATTCATTTGGAGGAGCCATGGCCACAATGTTTTATGCACGTTGCATTAATTCACCAAATGACTTAGGAGAACACTGTGTACTTCGCGATGCTTATACCTTTGGAAGTCCCAGTGTTGAAAATTCGGAATTTGCTAAAACATACATGTCAGCGTTAGATAAAGGAGACGAGGTTTCAAATACTTTATGGCGTATTGTTAATGACGATGATATTATGTGTAAATTGCCCATTGGATTTTATCATTCTGGAAGTATAGGAAAATATAATTCGTTAGATAATATCCATATTGGAGAAGCGATTAGATTTTATCAAAACGGCAGTAAACCAACTCTCATCAAAAATCCTCTTATTACTAACGGAGATAAAAATCATTATCCTATAATTAAAAGCTCAAGACCAAACGAAGACGGAGAAATTAAAATTCCTGTTGGTGAATTAGATAAAAAATTGCCAACCTTCATTAGAAATAATACGATCTCTCGTTATGCTATTGCAATGGCAATAGCTAGAAATCATTTACATGAGAAGAACGTTGGAAATTCAGGAAGAACAAAAAGTGGATATCAAGGTGAAATTACATTGGATTATGAGTAATTACAATTTAAAAGGAAAAAGTAACATATATAATTATTTATTATAACATTTTAAATTATAAATTAAATAAAATCTGATCCTTATTAACCGTTTAAAGTTTTCGAAATTTTTTCGTTTAATTCTTTTTAGGCATATATACGTATCAGTATCTAGTGATTTTTTTTTTTTGAGAATAACTTTAAATGTTTTTAAATAATTTAATTTTTTAGGGTTAAAGCAATAAGTTATAGGTATATTAAAACCTTTTTTAAAAGAAAACAAAAGAGATAACCCAATGAACAGTGTTATACGTTTTAAGTCCCTGGGTTTATTAACTGTCCCCACGCGCCGTCCGTACCCTATAAATGATGTAAAAATTAATAAAAGTTTTCATTATTTTAAAAAAGTAATTTTTGTCCCTGTATTGTTCAAAGGTATCCACTGCCAACGAGTGTAAAATTAAAATGTAACCATAAACATATATAAAATTTTTCTTGAAAATAATCTGTGAAAATCCTTAGATGTTCTTGCCTTGCTTAGGTAGCAGATATGTAATTCTTATGACAATAGCCATGTAAGATTATAAGCAATTACTGATATGAAGGGAGCTTAAAAACAAATTTCAAATGTTGAAATTTGATGTTGAAATTACAATTAATTAATTAAAGATTACAGAATACTGAAGATAATTACATATTGAGTATTAAAGATTGTTCTTTTCGCAATAAATGAACTAGAAGCAAGGTCTCACTTTGCTATTGAGTTGTTTGAGTGAGCCTGATTGTTCAAAGCTAAAGTTTCTGCAGGCATTTCTTTTTGAAAATTATTGGCATGATTTGATATCTTGAGAAGAATTTTTAGGATTTTTTTTTTTTTTTTGTATATTACTAAGTTATTGAATACTTGATAAAATTAATTTTTAATGGTTATATAAAAATGGTAACTATATAGGAAATTGTTAATAATACATGCTAATTTGTTATTTGTAAACTAAAATTAAATTTGCTTTTCAAATTTTCTTATTAAATTATTAAAAAATATTATTGAACTGTATATTAAATTATTTAAGTGCAGTTTTTGATCAAGAATTTTAGAAACTTTCCTAACTACAAATTAATTAAATAAATTTATCAATATTATCAAAAATCATTTCTAAATTATACATTTTTAATAATAAAAAAAAAAGGAGTTAAATTTCTTCGTTAACCATATTTTGCTTCTAACTTTCTTTTTTCTTCTGGCGAAACTTTTAATAGAGTTGTCAAAACTGGCAAAAGAGTTTTCTATATCATTAAAGAGTTAAATCAATATTATAATAATTTAAATTGTTACAAGATAATTTTTATAATACGCACCCTTTGTACTTTATTTTCCAAAAATTTAAATATTATATCTCGAAGATAATCTATTTTGAGATCATTATCCATGTTTGCATAATGAAACGATGAGGTTGTAGATATATTCGGGCCACGTGAAAATATTGGTGATATGGGTGGTGGTGAATTTTGTGATGCATTACGTTCTGACGATTTCTGAAGTTTACGAACTTCATCCTTTAGTGTCTGTTTAGAATATTGATAGTGTCAGCAAAATAAATCTATTGCAAATTTGATCTGAAAAACAATATTTACCTTGTTTATTGTACGCAAATGACCTTCTCGCATTCGTGCTTCTTCCAATAACTTTTCGTACTCTTCTTTATTTAATTGAAGGTTCGTTTCTAACTCTCGATATTTAGCCTAAATATTAATTCAAAAATAATAATATAATTAATTTATTTAATTTAAAAATTTAAATCAAAACTCAGATGAAATTTCAATACACACAGAATTCTTATTGGCATCGACTATTTCTGCATTAAGAATGCCCACTTTTTTGTCTATTTCTTGCATTCGCTTTTGCAGAGATTCATTCTCATTCTGCAATGACTTAATGGTATCATCTTTCCTCAAAGAAATTTCTGTCAAGCTATTATTTTCTTGTTCTTTTACATTCAATTGTTTGATCATATTTTGAATCTGAACATCAATTGTACACTTCATATCCATAAGTTCTAGTTCAATTTTCTCTTTGTCATGTCGATAATTCTCAGATTTTTTCTCCAAATTTTCAAATTTTTCTGCGTTATCACGAATTAAATCAGTAAGCTTAGCCTTTAGATTTTCATTTTCACGGCTCTTCTCTTTATAAATTTTTTTCAATGTTTTCAATTCTCCTTCTAACTCTTGAGAGCGTTCTTCAAATTCTTTTAACTGATGAGTTAATTCTTTAGAGCCATGTTGTAGATTTTCTAATAAGGACTGTGATGATTCAAATTCCGCCTGCTTAACTTGTAATTTGTCAAATAATCCATCCTTTTCAATGCAAGATTTTTCATTTAGCGTTTCCAGATGCGAAATTTGGATCGATTTTGCTTCTAGCTCTTTGTTGAATTGTAAAAGTTCTTGCTTAAGATTAATGGCCGCATTTTGCTCTGATAATTTAAGAGAATCCTGGAGACGATCTACTTCATCACTTAATTCCTTTTTTTCTTTCTCGAGAGTTGTGACTTTTTGTTTCAATTGTTTGTGGGAGGAAAGAGTTTTATTATGTTTTCCCTTTTCTTCGGTCAATTGCTTTTTTAATGATTCAATTTCAAAATCACGTTTTTGAATAATAGATTTATATTCGCTCAATGAATCTTGTAGATCTTTTTCTCGTTGAGTTGATGATTTTAACCTTGAATCGACATCTGATAACTTCTCTAATGCATCGGTTTTAGCAATATGAAGCTGTGCGCAATCGGATTCAAGTAATTTATATTTTTCTTCCGTTGTTTTTAATTTATCTTTCAATTGAGAGTTATCAGATTCAAATAACATGTGACTTTTTTTTGTTTTCTCGAATTTTTCTTTTAAATCTATAAAGACTGCCTTCTCATTGTTCAACTGTGCTTGTGTATCGTTTGATATCTTTTGCAAATTTTCGAAATTTATCAAAAGACTTTGTTTTTCCTTAGCAAAAATAGCAATTTCTTTATTAAGCTCTTTTACATGGTTGTCCAATTCGGCAATTTTTGAACTGGCAAAAGATGATACGGATTTTAACTCTTGATGGTTTTTTTGCAATTCCTCATGTGTTATTTTAAGTTTATCCAATTTTTGAGAAAATTGATCTCGCTCCAACGTTATAGATTCAAAATCTTTATTGGATTTTTCTAATAAAGAAATTTTTTCTTGATATTCATTTATTGTTTGATATAAGCTGGTAATTAATTCATTAGATGAATTTAATTTAGAGTGCATTTCATTTAGTATTTCATCTTTTTCGTTAATGTTTGCAGTAAGGGAATCAATCTGTTTCTCAGATTTTGTAATCAAACTTTTGTTTTCATCATCTCTCTTTTTAGCGTATTTCAACTTTTCTATCAATTCGTCAACTCTATTAGTTAATTCATCTTTTTCATTGGAATTTTGATCGAAGTCGTGACTTAAAGGAGCTTTATCAGGTTGACTCTCCTCAACATTCACAATTTCCTTTTGATTTTCTTCTTGGGTCAATTCCAATAATGGTTCCGTGACTTCCACTTGTGTATCACGTTTTTGTGTCATTTCAGGATCATGTTTACTATTGTTTTGTTTTAATTGTTCAATTTCGCTTAGTAAACTTTGGATTTTAAATTCGGATTGTTTACGTTCTGCATTCCAATTGTCATTTTTCGAAAAAATTTTTTCTTGTGTGAAGATTCCTTCTATTTCTTTCGTAGCTTCTTGAAATCTTTCTTCCATGGGTAATTTTTCTTGAGAAATTCCTTTTTTAACTTCAAGCTTTTTCTCAAATTGTCGAATTAGAATTTCTCTTTCCTGTTCAAATTCCTTGGTTTTATTATCCAATGCAATACGGTGTTGATTTGACAATTCCTGTGTTTTTTTCAATTCTTTCTCAAGCTCTTCTCTCATTTTCGTCACCGTTTCATCTCGTTCTATAGCTAAACTTTCTAGAGATTTTTCTAATGTTTTCTTTTCAATGACGGAAACTTCATTTTTTTCGTCATATTCTTGCATAAATTGTTGTAAATTATTTAATGTTTCTTTGTCTGATGAAAGCTGAATATTTTCAGCCTCTAATTTTTGTATTTTAATGTTTAATTCTTCAATTATTAATTCGTTCTCTTGATCAACAATGGCATTCTTTTCATTCTTTTTAATTTCATCATTGTCTAATTTCGCTTGAAGCTCTTGAATTTTAACCTCATACTTCAATTTAATTGTTTTAATTTCTTCAGAAAGTCGAGATATTTCTTCATCTTTTTTATTATCAATATCAACAATCTTTTCGGATTTATTTTCATTGATCTCATTAACCAAGTTTCCCACATTTTTTATGTCATTATCGCTGATAACTTTACTAGATTCTTTTTTTTGCATATTTTCAATATGCTTTATCCAAATAATTATTCAAATAATTATTATTAAATTGAGCTAAAAAAATCATAGACACAAAGTTATTATAATATTAAAGATACCTCTTCTTGATTAAGTATTTTCTTTTTTAATTTATCGATAAGTTTTGATTGAGAATCTATTTCCATTTTGTGAGTATTACACATATCTTCCATTTGTCGCTTTGTTTCTTTTCATCAGAAAAATAAAGAATAATATTTGAGCCAGCCGTGATTTAAATTGATTAAATTAAATTTAATAATGTACTAACCATCATTTATTTGTGTAATCCGTTTGATCTCTTGCATCCTCATCTATCATAATTTCTTAAAATTACAATATTTTCGAATAAAAATACAAATAATAAATATATTTACCTCGTCTTTCATGTTTAAATTATGTAAGTAAGCTTCGAAGGCTTCCATGTCTGTAAAACCTTCCAAATGTGAATTTTTCCTGAGAACTAGTTCAATAGCCTTTTTTTCGTTAAGTAGTTTTTTGTATGAATTGGCTAGTTCTGCGGTGATTACACTGTTAATAATAGTTGAATACTAGGTATGAAGTGATGCATTATAATTGGTTGATAGACAGAGGTACCTGGAAATCGAGCTTCGTATTTTTTTAATTTGGTTAATTTTTCTTTGATGTCGATAGGAAGTCCTTCAAAATCATTTTCCTTTTCTTTTTCTTGTAATGTTAAATAACTTTCATTTTTTTCCTCCTCTTCATTCTCAAAAACGGTAACGTCGTCTTGTTGTACTGAAGAAGTGGATTGCATCCTTGAGGTATGTGATCGACGCACAACAGGTAAAAGGCCACTGAAATTATCGTTAGTGGGTAGGTAATCTTCTTGATCAGATCCAGATTGACTAGATCCTTTATCTCGATATTGAATTTTATTTTGTAGACCGTTATTTAATCTATCTTTTAATGAGCTAAAATTTGAAAACATTGTATTGTAATTTTTCCACGCGGTAAACAGCGAATATTTAATAAATGTAGAGTGGTTGTTTCCGCAAATTTTTCTAATTCTATAAATTCTATAAGCTTGTATTTTCTTGAAAGTATTTCCGCCATAAGCTAAAAGAATGTTCATCTACCTGTTACTTTGGATAACATGCATAACATGTGACAATGCAAACACCAATAATATCTATGTGACGACTACAAGCCACACAACTTTTTGAATACAAGCCACACAAGAATACGTTTCTAGTATTTAATATGCTAAAGCTCTTCCGCGATTTTCTACTATGATATTCCTAAATGGTGGTTAAATCATATTTTATTCGAAGCGTCAGAAATTTTTTATTTTATTTTTTTAACAAATTTGAAAATTAAATTTTGGTTTTGCAAAATCTTAAATAATTTCTTTTGTGTTTTATTTGGTGGATTGTGTTCCCTGCTCAACCTTTTCTTATTTCTAATTCTGATCCTAATTCTTTCTATTTTTCTAAACCTGAGGAGAAACCTCAAACCTTTTGATCAAGAGTTGAGGAAGTGGAGGAAAAGGTAAAAAATGCCTCTGTGAAATCAGGTTAATTAAATAGTTAATTAGAAAAAAAAGCTGATTTTTAATATTTTTTGAAAATCAAGTTGATAACAAATTTTTACAAATTCTTTTAAGAATTGGTAATAATTAGATTGTTGTCACAACAACAATTAAATGATTATTCTGATTGAGAAAAATGAAACTATTGTTATTTAACTACAATAGTGATTAGTAACTTTTTAAAAAAAAATTTTGTGATCAAGATAAATATGCAAAAATAATTAATATTTTTTTTTTTCAATCATTTGATTCTTTATTTGTTTTATTTCAATTATTTTAAAAATGTCTACTATTACTTAACTTCTTTGTGAACAAGTCAATTATATGACTTAACAATTCTTTTGAGAAATCTATAATCCTTATACAAAAGTAAAACTGTTATTTGATTGTTTAGAAGATATTACTGATTCAATTATTTTAAAAAGAAAATCAAATCTTTCATCAAGTTCAGATCAATATCTTTCAAATTTGTTGATATAGTGACTTACAAAGGTAAAGTAACAAAAAAATTCAATTTTCAAATTAATATAACTCAAGAAATATAAATCTCATAATAATAAATTTATATTTATTAAATTGCTTTGATTTTATACTTTATATCAATATAATATTTATTACATGTTAATAGTAAAATTCTAGAAATGTATTCATTTATTTAAAATTTTTATGTTACAATACATATGTAATTTTAATTTAAATTTTGTAATTTTTTAAAAAAAAAATAAAATAAATATAATTAAAAATATACAGTAGTAATCAAAAGTATTATATCACTTGATTTTTTGATGTTAAAAAATTCTGTTTCCTGAATGATTAATTTTAGAACAATAGTTACTATACTTATTTTAGTCTTTAAGTTTTGAAAATTTTTTAGATTTTTTTTTGTGCCAAATTAATAATACTAATTTTTCACAAATAAATAATTGACATTAACAACTAATATTAGTAAAATTTCAATAATTGAATAAAATTTTATATAGCATAACTACAGTAATGATTATTATAGAATTGATTATCCCTTTCAAAGAAAATTGATATATCAAATTTTGTGATAATTAAATTAGTAGTTATTGTATAATTCACTTTCAAAATTTGAATTTTATATATAAAATATTTTTTTTATTGTTTTATACAATATATAAAATCTCAATTTCTAAGAGTGGATTATATAACAACTACTAATCTAATTGTTATAAAATTTGATATATCAATTTTTCTTGATAGAGATAATTAATTCCATGGTAATTATTGTTACAGTTTTTTTTTTTTAAACTTGCTTTAAATTTATTATCTATATTTTATTATTAACAATTATTTATTTAATTATTATTTTTTTTATTATGTATTCTTATTTCTTATTAATTGTTATTAATTATTTCATATTTTATTTTTTTATTATTATTGAAATTACAATTTATTTATTTTAATTATTTGTTTAATTATTAATTGTGAAATATATAATACACTTGAAAGATGTATAGTATATCTGAAAGATATTGTTACTAGTTAACCTTTTGGACTAATTTTATTTTTTCAAAAAGCAATTTACAACTAGCAACTTATAAACAGCTACTTTAGTTTATGAATTGAAAGAGATAATTTAAAAAGAATAAAAAAATAAAAGAATAATTTTAAGTTAAATACTAAATTAGAATTTAGAACTTTATGATAACAGGAATTAAATTATTAATTAATAAATAAATTGTAAAGAGTAATTTAAGAAATTAAGGTAAAGAGTTAAATATATTTATTAATAATTTATACAGTAATAACAGAAGTTTATTGATCAGAATTTATATTTGAAAAATATAAATTAGTAGAAAAGTAACAGAATTTTAATATAGAAAATATAAGTTTAATATAAAGAAAATCAATAAAAAAGTTACTTTAGGATTATAAAAATATTAACACTGGTCAAATTATAGAAAATCAGCACCTATCATACACCTATCGGGCACCCAATAGGTATGCAATAGGTGCCCGATTTTAAATAAATTTTAATATATCAGGCTCCCAATAGGTGAAGTGAGTGTGCCAAAGTTCAGGTACATATCGGACACATATTGACAGATATCGGACACATGTCGGGCTCTGATTTTTTGGCATTTTTTTAAAATATATCATACACTTATCGGGTGTCTGATTTCATTTATTTTTTATCAGGCACATATCTTCAATATATCGGTATTGTATATCGGGTATATATCGGTCACTGTATATTCCTCAATATCGGAAGCTTTTTTCTTACTATCGGATACCTATCGGTGACTTTTATTTATATATTTTCATTTTCTTATTACCGATAATCACATTTTTGTTTATTATTATAAA